GGGGGGGGGGGGGGGGGGGGGGGAGGAGGATGGGGAGAAGAGAGCAACTCGTCAACTATCCAGTAAGCATTTGCACAGTTGACTAGTCATTTAGTCCACATCCCTACTGCTCCAAGATTTGTGACAATGGCAGAACATTTAATAACACGGTATGATACAGTAAGTTATTTGCTAGCAAGGAAAAATTTTGTTTCACAACTGCAAACTGATGGAGTGTTCTGTCTTTTAGCATCCCACTCCCACCCAACTCGTCAACTATCCAGTAAGCATTTGCACAGTTGACTAGTCATTTAGTCCACATCCCTACTGCTCCAAGATTTGTGACAATGGCAGAACATTTAATAACACGGTATGATACAGTAAGTTATTTGCTAGCAAGGAAAAATTTTGTTTCACAACTGCAAACTGATGGAGTGTTCTGTCTTTTAGCATCCCACTCCCACCCTTCCCAACGAGAGGGCTAGGATTAAGTTTTCATATTGTCCACAATAATCATGCAAGCTGCAGGAATTCTCTCAAACATGCAGTCAAAAAAATAAATAAATAAAAGACGAGGGAGAAAACAACTTTTGCTAGAGGCCTAATATGCATGAAAATATATTAGTCCTTCCCTTGGTAAGAGAAGGGATGAGGAAAGTGTGACCTGCTGGTTTGTTTACATTTATTTTAGATAAGTAAACCAACTTGGTGCTGATAAGAAGTGACAACAGAACTGACTAGATCTGGCAAGAGTGCATGTTTCTTCACACTGCTTGAATAATGTCCATAAAAAGCAGCATCCCTGCTACGCAATTCAGGCAATCTATAGGTTTCAAAGTAAGTTCCTCTACTTCTCTCTTCCCCACAGAAACAGGTATTTGTATTGAATGAAGGCATTCAAAGGCTGTGCCTATATAAATTATATCATACACCATCTTGAAGTTAAACAAGCTCAAGCAAAACACAAAAAACATACAACCCCCCCCCCCCCAAAAAAAACAGTAACTTACCTCCACTTAATAACTTCATAACCAGCCAAAGTTCATCCTTAACCACAAATGATGTGTAATAGGTCACTATATTGGGATGATTGCATTGACTCATGGCTTGAATTTCTTTCTATAAGAAAAGCAAACAAAGGCAGTCTGGAATGACACTAGTTCTATTTTGCTATAACCATCATTTTATGTTATTAAAAATTCCTGAGTGAAATACTAGAATAGTTCATACACACATTTATAGTTTCCATACATCTTGGGCAACAGAATCTGTTAAGATGGATAATATTAAGGGGAGGAGCTCAATACCATGACTTCTCTTTTCTTCTGGAGGAAGGGACTTGGAGTCACAATCCCATGAGGAGTGATGGTGGACAATCTACAAAAGGTAGAAGGCAAAGGGGCAGAGGACTGCAAAGAACAGGTTTGGCATGCAAGTTGGTATTCAAAGGAGAACAAATCCACTGTAATGCATCTGCACCCTCCTAGGCTTATCTTAAAGAGCACTTGGAATCTCAGGAACAGAGAAAATGGACTCAAGGAAACACTTGGGAAAGGCACATAACAGAGAAGAAAAGTGGTGAAAGACAAGTGAAGTATGGAGTTCAAGGTGGAAACCACATAGCCAAGTGAGTGGAATGTTCTTTAGCTGTGAGCCAAGTCAAAGGAAATTACTTAGTATACCATCAACAATGACTAGGCTGCAAGAAAGCATCTGTACACATTCAAGGAAGTAACTAAAATTTCAAGCTCCAAAAACCCCTCTTCTAAGGTTCTTATTTTTAACTGTACACGTTAAGAGAATTTCTTACCATGGTTCTAGGCAATGTGGAATAGCTCTGGGGGTCCTGTGCTTCTGGGCAGATAGTTTTTGCCTCAAGCTCGCTGTGACCTTCCACACAGCCTCTTGCCCTTTACTAGAGGCAAGGGTCATAGCCTACTGAGCCAGTCAAACAGTCCCAGTGCCCACCCTTCAGGGGTGATCTCCTTAGTGGTGTAGGGAGGGTTGGGGGAATCAAGGACCCCTCTTCCCGCCCCACCCCCCCGCTCTGGGTTCCAGCAGCAGTAGATAGTAATTATTCCAAAGCAGGAGGCAGCTTCCAGGGAATGGGTTAACCATTACCTGGTAAACATCACCCAGTAAGGGTGATCCTTAATGGTTAACTGGTTACACGTTCACATCCTTAAGCTGATTAGCCTCTCTTTTTGCTTCAGGCATGCTCCTAATTGGCACTAGGTATCTGAACCAACTGCTCTCCAGAAGACCCTGACTGGTCAATCAGGGAACAGAAAACTATTCATTCAGTTGCCTGTATATTTATCTTATACCAAGCTAATGTGGCCAGCTGGTCTAGGTCTGTCACAACAGTTACACGTTGGAGCTATTTCTGTTCTTTTTTTTTGGGGGGGGGGGGGGGGGGGGGGGGGAAGGGAGGAGAAAGCATGAACATGTAGTTTAGCTTATGTTGGTCTCCCTTCCACAATTAATTGCAATTAGCATGAAGGCCTCTAATTGTTAGTCTGCACTGCAACGTCAACTCCTGTTTGAGCTGAGGTGCAAACCTAACCCTCCCCATTTCTGCCCACACTGCAAGTGCACTAACATGGGATCAGACCCAAAGCCCCACAACCCTACCAGCTGAGCTCAAGCCTATTCAGGATCCAGGGTCTGAACCGTATTGCTCTGCAGTATAGACACAGCCCCATCAGTCATCCAGATTTATCCCTCAATTCCATGGAACATCCGTCTTACCCTTCACTATCCCAGCAATCTGCAGTCCACATGTCTGAAAACAGAAGCACCACTCTTGCACGGTAGAGTCAATGGGAGCAGCTCAAGTCCGCATTAGCCCATTTTTTTCTGATCATGGATCTGTAAGCACACTATTGGAGCATCTTCTGGGTTTACAATGAGTTTTGCAGACTACTCAAACCAATGTAAAGGGCAAACAGGAAGCTTTTCCAACAGCACCATACTTCTAGGGTTAGAATGGCAATATTTAGGGGGCAAGCACTAGGAATGATCATATCTAGAATAAGGTTAGCTTGACTCAAGTCTATACACTATCATGTGCACACCAAAGCTCTAGATTGAAGCACCAGTTAGGCCGTGTCCAGACTCAGGGGTTTTTTCGGGAAAAGTAGCCTTTTCCCGAAAAAACTTCCCCTGCGTCTAGACTCAAGCCGCGTTCTTTCGAAATTATTTCGAAAGAACGCGGCTTTTCTTTCGATGGCGGTAAACCTCAATGTACGAGGAAGAACGCCTTCTTTCAAAAGTTCCTCTTTCGAAAGAAGGCGTTCTTCAATGTAAAGAGGCCGTCTTCGAAAGAGAGCATCCAGACTCGCTGGGTGCTCTCTTTCGAAAAAGCGGATTTCTCTTTCGAAAGATCCGCCTGCAGTCTAGACATAGCCTTAGAGAAAGGGGGGGGGGGGAGAAAGAGGCTTAACACAGGATTTAAATAGAAGCCCAGGATTCCCTAACGTGGGTCAACAGATTCAAGTCCCACTAGCCCTGGGCCTTTATTGCTGTTTACACATACCTTAAAAAGAAGGAAAAAAATATCCAGATTATTCTCACATTTAGTTACATGTCAGAATAATAAGAATGATTTAAATCACACAGCAGTCTCTCGTATGTTGAGGACTTTGGCTTAACATATAATCTATGATTATTAATAAAAAAAACTCATACTTTTTTTGTAAAGTTGTGATCTTAACCCAGCTGTCCACATCAAGTTGAAATACCACAAGTCACACTGTGACTCACATTTAACCTCCATTTTCAAATGAACAATATTTTTGTTCATGGTTGCATATTGTTGCTTCATGCTGTGAAACAGCTGCTGGTGTTTCTTCAAGGTACCTGCATGTCACGGTTCGGAAAAATGTACTCCCTATATTCAAGAACATGCATGGCTTAATTGTTTGTAAAGATTAAGATACTTTAAAACATTAAAAAGATTTAAGGCTCAAACATTTTCATTTGTTATGCACAGTTAACTGGAGCAATAACCACCCATGATAGGTTTCAAATGGGTCCCATATGAAGCAAGATTTAAAAAAGTCTTGGATTTGAACTTTTCAGCTTAGAAAAAAAGAGGAGGCGGGGGGGGGGAAGGGAAGGGTAGATATGATAGAGGTCTATAAATCATGTCTGATTTCCATGATGTGGAAAAAAAGTGAAGAAGGACAGTTATTTTACTTGTTCCCATAATAGAAGAACTAAGGGTCACCAAATGAAATTAATACGTTTAAAAACAAACAAAAAGTACATTTTTCTTCACACAGTGCAGTCAACCTGTGGAACTCCTTGCCAGAGCATGTTGTGAAGACTAGGACTTTAACAGGGTTCAAAAAAGCTAGAGAAATTCATGGAGGTTAAGTCTATCAATGATCATTAGCCAGGATGAGTAGGAATGGTGCTCTTTGCCTCTGTTTGTCTGGAAATGGATTACAGGAGAAAGATCACATGATATTTATCTGTTCGGTTCACTTCCTTTGGGGCACCTGACATTGGCAACTGTTGGCTGACAGGATACTGGGTTAGATGGACCTTTGGGCTAACCCAGTATGGCTGTTCTTATGACAGCAAGCAGCTCCAATGGTCATTTAGCTTACTATCAGTTAATTGCACTTGTACTGCAGAAGGATGGGAATTTCAAAGAAGAAAGAATTCATATGAAGCCTACAATCAGGTTACACTGCGTAATATTTAAGATCTACAAATAGCAATTTTTTTTCCTGAGGCTCAAAGTTCACTTTCAATGGGGAGGTTCACCTAATTGGACAACTATAATTTTGAAAAAAGCGCATAAAACCCCCATTTTCAACCACATTTGGTATAACAGTCAGTCATTCTAAGAAGATGAGCAAAAAGGATTTTTAATTTTTTCCACTCTACTTACAAAGAGCATTTTGCAGCATCTAAATGGGGAAATATTTCTTGTTTCTATAGTTCTACCACACAAACATTTAAAACATTTAATGATATGACTAAAGCTCCAAAACTGGCAGAAAGGACTCAGAGCAGATATGATGACTGAAGGGAACTTTCAAATTTGTTAAATACAATTGCAGATCATGGATCTGTAAGCACACTATTGGAGCATCTTCTGGGTTTATAATGAGTTTTGCAGACTACTCAAACCAATGTAAAGGCAAACAGGAAATTTTTTATTAGGGATCATTTATTTGGGTCTGTCCTGATGCCACACAAGTCCATTGGATAATTATATATTTTTCAAATAGACTGGAGTGGCTCTATCAAGCAAATACATCTAAGTTCCAGAATGAATACAAAAGAGTTTCCATTAGTTAGGCTAATGACTCTAACTTTAGATCGGACATCTAATAATCAGGTAAGAATACAAAAGTACAAAACATACAGGAAGCTGACTTCATGTATTAGAAGTGCTTCAAATCCATGCATATTCAAGAAACTGCAAGAGTTTCGCTTCTTCCTTGCAAGCACAATAAGCAGAGATTTTTTTAAAAAGTAACATCTCACTCCCATAAAAATAGGTTAGATCTTCATTTTATCATTAAGTCAGGACGACTAGCTACAGCAGGCATATGTTCCTTGATTTGTGCAGTTAATTTATATTTACGAGAACACAGGACAATAAAAGTAACAATGTCAGGGCTTTTGATAGCTTGCATATCCCTCAACTTATTTAAAATTCCTTTCCAACTCCCTTTCCATTTTAAATATATGTTGCAAAAATCTTGAATCTGCTTACATGGATGTACTGAGACTAAAAAACACCAGACATGGTGCATTTCCACTTGACTGATGGCCAAAGCAGCTGAAAGCTCACATAAGGTGACAATGCACATCACAAATAAGCTCTGTGCAACTGAATTTTGCAAGGCTGTGTGCATGGATTGCTCTGTGTTTGGTTTTCCGCAAGCGAAGGCGAAAAGGAAAGAGGAGAATATTAATGGACAAAGCAACTACTAAAGACATTGGTGAGGAACAAAACCAATGAGCCTTGTTTCTCTTCTATTTGTCTTCCTCACTGAAACACAAAGAAAGCAATAGTCTATATAGGTTCTCCAGTAACGAACGCATATGTTGGGGGGACAGAATTGTTTCCTCCCTTTCTGTGTGTTTGGTCACAA